GGATAAAGAGAAATGGAGCCATACTCGCTGAGGGATTTCTAGCTATGCGGGTTACCGAACGTTGACAACAAATACATTTGCGAAAGTGATTTGTTGGGACTTGTTGGACTTGTTTAGTGGCTTATTGTAAACTACATGAAAAAAACACACCCCTCCAACCGAGAAAAATATTACCCGCCCTCTCACCAAAATTTATTTTACCCACTGTACTATTTGCATAGAAGTGAAATTGCCCTCCCAAATCCGAAAAATCTCCCCGCCCACTCCTCTATAAAGTATTTCCCCGCCCGCTCACAAAACCTTACTCGAACAGCTTTTCACACGAACAGCTTCGTTGACTGCTTCCGTATAACGTGGTTTAGGTTAGCGCACTGTTGCGTCGCCTTTATTACCTTGAAAAACACCGTTGTACGTTGTTGATGCCCAAAATCTGGTGTCCCAGACGGCTCCTATCGTCATATAAACCGCGTTAAAACAACTATAGTCACGGACCTGGTTACATATGTTGAAGTGTTATCCATTCCGACTACCAGTGACGTATTTTAAGTGTAAACATTTTTGTCGAAACAACAAAGGGTTGTTATATTATAATAAAACTCGGTTCCCACAATGCAATGCTTCATAGCATTCACGACCTTTGGACCCCACATTTGTGCATTCTATCATCATGTCACCAGGGAAGCTATAACTTTAATCACACGCAGCGTACTGAATTGTATGTTCGTCGATACAGTCAGGACAACGACCATCGAATATTCAGTAATGGAAATAACGTTAAGTTATACAACCCTTACTTCGTAGCGACTTGTTGACCCGTTACGTTATTTCGCAAAGGTACGCTTTTTGAACCTTGACCTCTCGCCACCCTTTCAACACACATGGTGGGCTTCTCAACAATATCCACATCATAAGATTTCAGTAATTTCTATTCTATACAAACGCCTTTCTGAAAGCTAATCAACGACGGTCTTCGGAGAATGACGTAGACAAGGCGTTACGACACTATACAATGCATACATCCTATTAATTATATACGTGTTATCTAAACCAATTATCTGTATACTATATGAATATTATATTATTAGCGATGCGATATCACATACTTCGATGGAAATACCGCTCCATGTTATTTATGGGACTTGCGTGTTCCCTTATATATCTGTTGATGATCACCAATCTAGTCGATCAAGATCAAGTACATCAACGTATTGCTTCATTGGTAGGAGACGTAGACATCGCGTTATACAAGATGAGAATTCTTATGAACAGGTACGTACGTGACTAATGGTGTCATCATTTAATTTTTAGTGTTATGTGCAATTAAAGTTGACGGCTAACAACAAAATTGGTCTTTCCTCACTCACAAAAAATCCCACAATTAAATAAAATAAACAAACAAACAAAGTAAACAAAATCAAACAAACAAACAACGAATAAATAAATAAATAAATAAATAAATAAATAAATAAATAAATAAATAAATAAATAAATAAATAAATAAATAATGCATAATGAGTGAATGAGTGGGTGAGCGAGTGAGTGAATAAATAAATAAATAAATAAATAAATAAATAAATAAATAAATAAATAAATAAATAAATAAATAAATAAATAAATAAATAAATAAATACCTTAACTAGCATACAGTGTTTATATATTTTGTGTGTGTTTGTCCAATAAAATAAAATATCATGGGAGAAGGTAAATGGCGAAAGCCTCGAACTTAATTTCGGGGTAAATCGGCTTTCGCAATTTATACACTGCAAGTCAAAGTGAGCCTGTATTATTATCAAATGCAAAACCCTCTAATGTCAAAGGCTTCGAATTTGTATAAATAAACACACAGTACCATCACATAGCAGGACAATATATACCGCGACACTACGGGCATGCTCTATCCAACCACAATCCCTTTAACCCGTCAGTGGTTAAAATAGATATGCATACGTGTTGTGCTGGCTGGTGAAATAATTATTGCTCACGCTTTTATAGGGCGTTTTACAGTAACATTCCCAATTCTGCGACGTTTCATTCAAAACATCGTAAAATCTAGACACGATGGACATAATAAGTTACCGGTACATATCGTAAATTATTTTCTTGTGAAAATAATCGTCACACGCTCCAGCAAGCACATAAAAAGTGACAGATTGCAGGATAGCGCCAAGTATAATAGGTTTATTTAAGAGTACATGTGACTTTGACAGATCTCTCAAACTTAATTTATGTCATCTGACTGTTTTATTGAGAATTATTTGAACATGTATTTGAACTTCACTAACAACAATTCCAATCGAAAAAAATATGGTTGAAGTGGAATAACACTATTGCCATGAAACCATTAAAAGCAGCATTAGCCAGACACGTTAATAGGAATATTTGTTTTTATGTATTGCAGTACTGAGCATGTGGAAATCAAAGTGAGGCATTGTGAACGTCATCACATACAGCACAAAATAAAGCTTGTCATCCCATCGTGAGTAATATTGTATACCTTTTGCTAACATTTAAAGTAGTAGCGACATTTTGTGCGTCAAGACACTCAAATCCACAACTATCATAGCAAACCTAAACACCCAGCTATGAAATAACTTAACGTAATACATTTCGAACAATCTTTAACAATATATATCAGGAAACCAGTACTTACAAATGATGCTACCTCCCTAAACAAACAGCAATGACAGCTACTACTATTAGAATGACGTTATCTCATTTGTATTGCAGGTTCGATTCCAACGAGACTTTATTCATCCAACATGGATATAATAAAATACGAGATGAACGCTTCTTTTCACTTCTAAAACTGATGGAAACTAGTGGAGACAGTAAGCATTACCAATATAATCCGGTGTTATCGAGAGATAGTTATGATTAAATATTATTAATAAACGTTATTTTGTCAACCCATGATTAATTCAGTATACCCTCTATATTAGGACATGACATTATTGTTTGAATGAAAACATGAAATACACACTAAATGGATATTGCCTTTCCACTTGCTAACATGGGGTCCTATTTATGTATATATCCAATCTATGTCCAATGAAAAATTATGTGTGTGGTTCTTGGTTGCAGGTGTACTTTTACATTATTTAATTTGCTGTTTAAATTTCGACTTTTATTTATATATTACAAGAGTTAATGGCAATGAGTAATTGATTCACAATATTGTTATTCCATGGTACTTTTCAGTATGTCCGCCGTGTCGTAGCGAATAAATAGCAGATGTCAAAGGTGGGAACTAGGTCATTAACAGTGACTTGTGATACATGAAATAAGCAATGTTATTTTGTACAACCAAGACTTACACATTACATTGTCTTTCCACACAGACCTTGGTGTAATAGACGACTTGCTGAAGATGATACCAAGCACGAATAAAGAAGACAGATTTGGGTAAAAACGTCACGCTTACACGCAATATTCTTAGAATGTTGACAGCTTCAGGTCTAGCGTATTGTCTTCTTATTACCTTACTTTTACTTTATCATTTTATAGAATACCGAACGCTGCAATCGACAAAGAACATAAAATCATTATTCCCACATATTCACGTCTCTTCACACAGTAAAATAACAATATCTTGATCACATTCAATTTGATTTAGCTTCAGTCTTTTGCCATTTATTTATTCACTGCATGACTAAGTTTGATAGGAAGCTGAGTCCATATTTTTAGTGGTTTCAAAAGTCATAAAGCTTTCACAGCATCGCCCTAAAATCTTTCGCATAGCTCCATATACTTAGGTGATTGTCCATCACCCGCCAACAATTCTATTTTTGACTTCTTTCCGAAAACTACGAGGCAAAATAACTTGATACTTAATATGTGGGTACATTGGGTGGGCCTTTGTCAGATTTGTTCATTTTGCGACAATATATAATATTTTTGCTTTTTTTTTGTAAAATATGATATTGTCGACTTCTATTGAAAATTACTCGCTCAATTGTTTTGATAATTGGTATGTAGATACTCTGGGTGAACCTCTGTCAGACTCGTTCTTTTCGTTACGATATTCTGAAATATCTATTTGGCGAATATGTTTGTTAATGCTAATTTCGACTTTTTCTTGAAAACTACCATTTCAACTGGGTTGATCCTCGGGCGAACCTCTGTCAGTTTAGTTGATTTCGTGACGATATCTTCAATTCTCTATTTTCGCTGAATGTTTTTGTCATTTTTGGTAAAAACTGTTTTTTCGACTTCTTCTTAAAAACTACCTGCTCAATTGCTTTGGTACTTGGTATGTAGGGTCCATGGGTTAACTTCTATGAAATTTATAGCAAAAGCAATTGTAATTGCTAAATGGCAACAGCCAAATAAACTGCCATTTCTATGATACAGCAAGAACATTGTGGGAAAACTAATAACCATGGCAAATAATAAATATCTTATCATACAGAACATTATCAATCTTGTTTTAAGGAAGACTACCTACGAAAACTGCGGAGCTATTTCGCCTATTAGGTCGTTTTTTAGAATTCGCACAGACTCATATGCCCCGCGATACTTGGCATCTTGTGATCACTAAACAATACACAAACTTAGAAAATGGGGTCACTGTAATGTATAGAAAATAGCAAATGTCAATACACAGTTTAGTTTAGTAACTTAATATTCTAAGATAGCCTGCATTGACGAATGTGTTACAAGTCTGGTAAACTCGTAGTACGTGTAACAAAATACAAACAATTACAATCGAGTAATGACACAGCTTAGTAATCTGTTTTAATGTTTTAGGTCGTAACAACAAAAAAACGAGGCGCGTGACCGTAGAATAGATAAAAATGATTAGACAACAAAATATGAACGTGAAGTTCCATAATACTGGAGACTGTCTTGGTCTCATTAGCTGATATTTTTGCTTTAGATTCACTGCCTCATCTGAACTTCTGTATAAATTAAAATGGTTAAAATACCCCAGTCCAAAACTGTAACATAATTTAAGCATATGTGTCTGTGCAACCTTGAAGAAAACTTCAGTGCAAAACAGATTTTAGAGCGCAGAAACTTTGTATAGAGTGACACTCTATATGGTATGTGTCAGAATAAATCACAACAGAAAATGTCACTTTGTCCCGGCTGTATTCATCCATCGCTGTCTGCAGCGAACAGTAATGCCATACGTATCTTAGTCTACTACATTGGCCTATAGTTGCCAGTGTTCAAAAAGTACAAACTCGTGGTATATTTTCAAATGTAATCACCAATGTGTTGAATGTATTGACCAATGTGCCGAATGTATTGTCAATATATTGGAAGTATTGACCATTGTACTGATCAATGAATTGACCAAAGTATTGAACAATGATTTGACTAATGTATTAACTAATGTGCTAAATGTATTGACCATTTTTTGGATGTATTGACAATGTAACGAAAATATTTGCCAATGTATTGAATGTATTGGGCAATCTTTTACAACGTAATATAAATTTTCTATATTTGTAACACCTTTACCACTATCGGTCACGTATTCTCCCCTCCTCAAATTTTTCAGACCGTAAGATAAATGTAGATCTCGTTCGATAAATGTGTCTGATTGGCAGATGCTCTTTGGGAGATTTTCAAAATATTAAGCACTGTAGTTTATTCTAATTTGTATATTTTTCTCCTTGTTTCCATTTCGGGGAAAAGTGCCTAGCCAATACATGACACGATTGTGTTTGACTGGGGAGGATATGTAATCACATGTTATATATGTTGCTGAAAGAGGCAGTACATAGTAGTTGGCAGTTAACATAAGACCTACTGAATTTAAACTATTCAGTGATTAGGGGGATGAAACCAGTGGATACCATGAAATTTACAATACAGCGGTCTTCTACGTACATTTTGTCTTTGAAATATGACGAGGAACAATAAACACCACTTACTTTACCACCTGCAATATTACAGTATGTTCGCTGTATCAAGTGTGATTGGAAGGTGACAATGGCATGGATTTAGACATGCTTAAATATTCTCTATCAATCTCACATCTATATTTGCAATTATAGCAATAGCTGTAAGAGGTGCATCATAGTCGGAAATTCTGGAATCCTTCGGGGAAGACGCCTGGGTTCAGTTATTGATAGCTACGACGTAGTTATGAGGTACGATCACAGTTGAGAAGCGACAGACGAAATTCGAGTTAATTAATTGATACATTACCATGAGTCGATATCACGACAAGCTCACTTAACATCATTCAAGTTGAAAGCTGTTCGAGTAGAAGCCCCTCTACCTACAACCGCTACCACATCAGCGCGACGCACTGTATTCATCACTATCATTACGTAACCTACTTAGAAAATAAATGAAGTCGTATACCGTATCATATTATACAATTGAAAGTAATATTGCAAGCAACTGCTTGTTTGTTTGCGTAGTTATTTATTAGTAACATAGTAACATGTTATGAACAATTCACAATCATCGAATATATGTAAATAACACTCCCTGTTGATTCATTATTACTTGTACAGTAAGATTGCTCAATAATTTGACATATAATCATCAAATCATTTCGTACGTGAATTGCATCATGGGAATAATAATATCTTTATTTACAACAGAATGAACAACGCCCCAACCAGTCACTTCAACCTCGATGTTGGAACCAAAACTTCTTTCCGATTTATCTTCCCTGAATCAGCTTTTTTCGATGCGAGGGAGTATAACCTGGACTCTGACGTCGTCTTAGTCGCCCATAAACGGTCCGACTATGAATGGTTATATGCCGTATTGAAAAAGGTACGATCAATGATTTACGTAAATCTTAAGAACACCGGTACGTATTTACTATGCATTAGAACATTACCAATATGCAACATGATTGTATGCTGCAATGTAAGTCGGCCATGAATTTTACTCCATAGACATTTTGTGGGTATATTATAATGCTACAAATGAAACTTGTAGACATTAAGGGACGTGAGAAAAATCATACTACACTATACACTGTAGGGATACTGGAAGAATCGACCCAAAGTAAGTACATCAGAGGTTCCTCACATGTAGTTCTGCTTTATTACTAATCAGTCCTACAGCAGAGGTGTCGCCATGTCCACTGAATTGTCAGAAATGTCTTACACTTCTGTCAAATTTATAGATGCTAACGGTGTAACCTATTGACGGATAATGTGATGTACAGGTCTTGAGTCATAATGTAGGCTGGCAAATTCATACCACATAATACATATAGTATAAAAACATAACATATATGTAAAAATTGCTGCCAATGGATAACTTTATAACATTGTATGAAAATAACACCCATACGTGAGGTAATGTGAGGTAATGTGATATTTGTGATATAATGTCTACATCGTCAAACCCGCCATCTACAAAATAGTTATATACATTGTTGTACCGTAGGTTAGTAGTTAATGTTAATGTTATAGAAAATGATCGTTTCTGCCTTATTTTTTACCAGGTACCACTTCAAGGCGGAAGTTTCTGGAAGAAAGTATCAACAAACTTCCCTAAATCCCCTGAAAATGTCAGGTTGCTGCATCCACATATACCAATATTAGCCAGGGACCATCTTCACATACCCGTAAGTATATGTTACACACATTATTAATACTCATAACTACGACACGTGGGATTACCTACAAATATTAGAAAGAAACGCACCGTATAAGAAGTAAATTATATTTTTATGTCAAAAGAACTAATACTTCAAATGATTTAGTACCAGGGCGGAACGAAAAGATACTCTCGATCGGCGTTGTCACAAATGACAGTTGCAGTGAATGTAGGGTAATAATATTATGAGTGTTTCGTTGGTATGCACGGCGCAGCTAACATTGTAATTCCATACAGAACTTCAGTGAAATCCAATCGTGGAAATGCGCGTGAATCAGCTTGGGAGAGAATATCGTTCTAGCAAGCCTTGTCACTACAGACAATTTAGTCGTCTCGCTCCACTCACGTGTTACCGGTAGTATTTTGTATAATTGTGTTTGCAGATTAGAGCGTCAATGGGAATCGTAACTCTGGTGTTTGCTCTACACTATTGTGACCATGTTGATATCGTCGGATTTGGTCATGATCCAAATATGCCATACCACTACTATTCAACGAGATTAGTGAAGAAATCTCCCATGATCTACGGTCATAACTGGGACACCGAAATAACATATTTAAAAAGATTACTAACAGCGGGTGTGATTGGAAATGACTTGACTGGTTTCATAAAGAGGGATAACTAGGTAGATACAAAAAGCGAGACTTTTTTGAATAGTGTGGTAGAGTAGACTTCCGCGTTGTTCATTACACCATGTCGTCATATCAATTATTCAAAGCAGATCTATGGGAGTTGTGTTTATGCATAAGTAATGATGTCAATTCCTACACCCATATAGTCAAGATAGTCGGTAAATTCTGTAACTGTAGTCTTTATATTATGCACACTTTCTGAAGTAATATAAATATGCTTTTGTCTAGATTATCCCTCTGTTATAAAATTCTGATGATATTATTGTTTCAAGTAATACATTTACTGATTTATTAGGTATAACTTGGTACCAACTGCTCCACAAGTTAACAAGTTGACCATAAAGTAAAAATGTATTTTAATTACACGTCAGTAACATACGCAGTTATGAACAGTAATACTGTTAATATAAAATCATTGGCCAATGTGTAGTTGACATTATAAACTGTGTTCATCATTACAAAATCCACACGAAAGATTGGTTTACTCTCAACCCATAGCAAAGGTTCATCTTAAATTACCGCATCCCAACATATCAAACGGTTCATCGCATATACTGTGGATGATATTCGCTCACATTCGATTAGGTTCAAACTGCATGCATTGGATCGTAGAGTTACAATAAAGGAAGCGTAATGTACATTTAAACCTTACACTGTTTATTATGGAAATGTTACAACAAAGAAACTACAATGTAACAAGAAGGCAACTGATAAATACACGATAGAATGCCCTTTTTATAGGGTTGAGCAGGATTCACACCTATGGATTAAAATTGGAGTGAGACACAGTGATTGGATTTCAATATTGGCACATCAGCTTAAAATCGACCTTGCAACTGATTCCTATTGCGTTCGTGCTGTCTGTTGATTATTATTAATTGGCTTGTATAAACCGAATCTGTGTTTCTTTACAATAGAGATACATGCATCACGGTATAGTTTCAGGCATGTAACAACTTTCAATTGTTGTATCTCAGCTAATATAGCCTGGAATTGTATAAAATAAGGACGAAAAGATACAGTAAAACATGATCTAATAATATAACTAAGTTACGAATACGAAAGAATGAAACTGAATAAACAAACAACAACAAATATGAATCAATGAGGAAAAACACAAGTGGATAAGCATCCACAACATATACAGACTGCAGCTCATATATCAACACATGGAATTACAAACAGTCTAATGAATTTCCATCCGCAGACACGGTAATTTCTTTCCATGTATACGATCGCCGAATATCATCAATGTACAATTAACTGTACCTCAATTAAAAAAAACTTCTTATTCAATTGTTTCACCACTTTATGTGCTATGCATACTTAACAAATAATCTTGCTGCTTACCTGAATCCACCATAATTGCAAATGACTGTATGAAATAAGAAAATACTCACAACACAGATTGTTGTATATTTTAAATCTTAAAATTTTAAATAGTGTGGTGCAAAAAAGTTTAGCGTTATGTTCATCTCATTGCTTGAAGTAGGAATCGTAATAATACTGAACAATAAAACAATAGACACAATATTATAGTCTAGTTCTTTGGATATAATGCAGAGGGCACATAACGAACACACTGTGCAACGTGGCTGTTGTAAGAAAGCAAGCAAAGAACAGATATAAAACAGTAGAGTGGGTATTGATTTGTAGTAAGATGCACATAATTAATACACAAGATGGGCATAATTTTTCAAATAAGGCTCAGTAAAAAAAGTTCAGGCGGATGTAATGAGCAGATAATATACATTTAGATAGTGTTATTCACGCCAGGGACTGGTACAAACAACACATTGGGATGAGTGTTCAGGTGTTGTAAGAGGCAGATAATAAAACATGCTTTAGACTTTATGTAAGCAAGTTATAGGTAAACTATGTAAGACATTATGCTGAACACTATCCGGGAGCTCACTGGCTACAAACAAAGTAGCAGCATTAACTTATAGAGTGACATATGATGATGTTATTATTTGATTCCCATTGCACTATATTCATAGCAGGTACAATATTGGTGATTTCTAACTGATTCCTGAACATAATATGCACGTGATCAAGTTGAACATTTCCATGACCTGGATGATAACCCCTATTTTGTGATGATCAGACAAGTAACCTTTCGTTTTACAAATTTTACTGTTCCCTTTCTCATAAATTCTAAACGTCCTTTAATTAATTACATGGTTATCATACATCGCATTCTTAGATAAATCTGGCGTAGTGCCTTTTAAGCCCATTCTTCTAATCCGATATATGCGATATAATGCTCAATATTTACAACACTATTAATACAGTTTGTATTGAATCGTTTTGATAATTTCTGAGAGTTGATAAATGCTTTAGTGTCACAGAGTTGACTGCAATCTTCAAAGTGCATTTAAATGCATTTTAACAGAAATGTATCGAGTTATGTACACTCTTGAATCATCCACTAGTGTAACACAATGTTTTTGTATAACGAAACCATATGCTAGTATATCATATTACTGTATCGTTTGTGCCCTATAATTAAAATAATTCAAAGAATGAACAAATACTTCGACTAGCATAACTAGTTCTACAGCTGTTATTTTTTTTCCTTTATTCATGTAATTTTCCGCTAAGATTTATTTTTATTTTTATTGTTATCTATTTTTCCACGTTGACCATCTTCATTAACTCTTCATTCGAGATTCTAGTGGTTACATTCTGATCAGTAAATCGAAAATGAATGTTTCTAGTTTCATGCCGGACGACAGTACACAAACAATAATTGTCGTGCCAACGTATACAACATATCTTCCGAGTACAGGCAGCGGACATGACCGACGTTATTTGGTCACATGACCAGTCTGATTTAAACGCTATGTTGAACAGGTTTACAGTCATTCTAAGTATCTGAGCATCTATGAGATATATATTTTAATCCCCTTCGTGTTATGTGACAGATAGTCTGATTTATTTTGATGACCGACATAGATAGTGCATCAACGGCAAGCCGTACATAAGCGCGTTGCGTCTTATAGTGTTTTGTTATTTTTTAGAACTGAAACAGCTCGGGCTGATTGAGATTTGACAATGTATTACAATTTCATTAATCAAATACAACACAACATCGCAGAAAGTGAAATACACGTAAAGGGAAATAATATTTGATATGGTCTAAACATTGTAACATGACTCCGCATGTGAATGGAGTTAACATACCCACATGGTTGTGCTATTACCATCAGACAAGCGTATCGGGTGGTCATTAAGAAAACCCGGATCGTAGTAACACCATGGCTGCATGGGAGCTTAGCGTCTCTCAAATTCTATGCATCTATTCGTTGGTCTTCGTTACAGTAAACGGTAAGTGATTTGATCTAGATGTCAATATGCTACATTGTAATAGTTATTCCCATACTATATATATTCAGGATAATGCGATATGTTTTTTTTTGAAACTATGCAACTTTAATTACAAGCTGAAAGTCCTGCGTTTGAGATACACCTTCTCTGTGAGTAAAATAATACAATAAATATCATAGACGGGACGATATTAATACTGGTTAATTGAACACATTTTATTAAAATCCGCACATTTTACTAGCATCGGAATGCTATTACGACGAATCGGGGGCTGACTACAGAGGTACCGTATCCAGCACAGTGAGCGGCAAACGGTGTCAACACTGGACGTGGCTAATCCCGCATTTACACGATCGTACCCCATGGAATTATCCCGATGCCGGCCTTGGAATGCACGGTTACTGTCGCAATCCTGACGGACACCATAGCGCATGGTGTTACACTATGGACCCTGATACAAGAAGTGAAGTATGCGATATTGGCAAGCCTGGAGAGTTTTGTGACCGTGAGTACTTACATATACCTAGGTTTAAAACTTATATGTTTTCACTCATATCTAATTCATTGTGATTAGTAAACAAGGATGGAGGAAGCGCGTTTGAAGGACCCTAAAAGTAGGTACTGCTCTTCAGACGGATGTCGTAAATATGCGATTGAAACATGTCTTACAGCCACGAATACTATTTTTGTATTTATGGACTGTGTACACCTTCCTCGTAATACTCAAGTGATATTTATATAACATTTGGATTATGTGTGACATCGACCACACACAACGGTATGTTTGTTGTCTGGACAGCATTTTTTAACTCAGGCAGGAAGGCTGATGTACATACATTGGTCACATTATATATACCTTGGCCCATGCACGCAACTTTAATACAAATCATTATAGTAGAAAGATCGTTTAGTATGTAAGGTACAGTGACATGACTAAGTGTGTACAGTAGAAGAAGCGCTTGCACTCGTCAAGAGAATATGCGTTATATTGTCAAGTGAAACATTTGTTGTTTACAAAGTAAAACGTCGATATACGATAGATTAATTCAGCCTCTGGTCGTAAATCTATGCTGACATCGCGTGTAGTCAGATTACACGATGTGGTGATAATTTACTGCCAACAGCTGTGAACTGACTCTTGATAGTTTATAGTTTTTGTTTGATCGCCGTGAAGTAGACAATGTTGTTTTGAAGAAATAATTGTCACGACTCTCAAAGTCGTTAGTTGATGCGAATGAGGTATGTGTATTTACATTAGTTTGTGTAAAGTAATAGACAGTCAAGACAATTGCATTGAAAGGCTCATCTAAACAGCTGTCAAGGATAACGGTCAAAAGGTTTATTCGTCAGTGGATAACCAGATGATAATACCAGGGGTAGAAAATATCAATGAACAAGAAACATCGAAACTACTAGGCACTGTTTTGTTTATTACCACCCCGATTTATCGATTCAGATGTCTTTCATATTACGCTGGAAAATGGTATTGTTTAAGCACATAAGATTGGACATATGTTTCATCAGGAAACTATAATTTCATTTTGAAGTTGATGTCAATGCTGCTACTTTTCAATACAGTGAGCTATATTGCAAACAACTGGTTTGGTTGCTTTTTCGTTTGCATTAATAGTGAATGTGAATTATACCAGTCTGAGTGAAAACCACGATTTCATTGTTTTATCAGTTTCAACGCCAATGCCAGTGGAAAAAGAAGATTGGCAAGAAGAAGTTGAGGTAACATTTGACAAACCGGGTCAATGTCCAAACGTCGATGGCATAACAGGAACCTGCACCGAAGATTGCTTGCTGGACACAGACTGTACTGGAACCGCGAAGTGTTGTTCGAATGGATGTGGTCACGTGTGTACTGAAATAGGTCAGTGTTACATATGCAAATTAAACATGTTATCAGGTGATTTGATTTGTTATTTGCAATATTAGTTAGACTAGATATGTGGTAACTGTTCCTGTCAGATAAATATAAACTGATGGTGGAATGAAGTGAGTTCACAAATGAATTTGCTGACAAACATTTCTAATACTTTTCACTGTTTTGGCCCGAGTATAGATTGATAGATCTGTTAAGCTAAGTTGAAAGTGGTGGAATATATGTTTAGTGCAATTTACTCCCCCCCCCTCAAGCCTCCCCTTTCATGCCCCTGTAATGCGCAGGGAAACCACCAAAATAAACAGTTTCTATACAACATAGTTCAATGTGTACTTATAATAAAAATACCCTTGATATTCTGGAAAAGTATGTCAATTGTTTTACAAGAACGACTGTTCCAATGTATTTTCGTCTTCTCCATTTCCCAAGGTTGTTTTGTATACTAGAAGAAAATGTCTTTTGAAAGCATTCCGTATATTAATTTCCATTGCACAAAAAAGCAGCAAATACTTTTACAGAATCACAGAATTGTCATGTACCCCCGGCCATTCACGCACACTGCAAATCGATTACCACATTCATAGTTGTTGATACTTTGCAGCCGCCATGATGGATGTACAGTGGCGTATTTTGGACCCCGGATACTGACCTTGCATACGGGATACATATATTGCCTTTTCATACCAGTTCAATTTTCTTTCATTATTTCATCCAGATTTCATGATATTCAAAACCAACCTTCATTTCACAGTCACTCTAGTTTTCACTTTTCTTAAATTATTTTACTGATCAAAAGGCTTGTCACTCCCATCATGCAATCACCCATAGTACTTCCGCAGACACAGCGACGATCACCAACATACAGTCCAAATTGTACAAAAACCAGAATTAAAACGTAGAAAATCATCAATCGTCATTTTTGTTATGCTAATTTTTGTGTTTACGCTGTTATATTCATTGTAGATATGTTTCGTTTTCACGCGGAATAAAAGAAGTCTGTATTCAATGTAAACTGTGTTGTGTGTGCATTCAGTGTACAGCTATATACTGCTTTTATAAATATTCATGTTCAAGGGCCACAATAATGATCTTATAATATGCAAGTAAACATTTTTTACTAGTTTTATTCAATTGTCAATATATTGGCATACTATAATAGCAATAACCCCCTGCCGAAGTTGATATTGCACAATTCACGACATATATGTATGAATTGTTTAACATCTCGCGATATACCCACCTTCGGCGGGGGGGGGGGGGTTATTGCTAAAATATAGTTATAATACCTAGTTTTATTACTCCTTAAACAGCAACCAGATCAGAGGGCCGAACAGTATTTTGTAAATCATAAACTTAGCATCGAGCTCATTTTCATCTGTTTTCGTTCAAAACAGCCGAACCACCGCCAAGTGTAGGAAGGTGTCCCAGCCCAGATTCATTCCAGTTTGCGTTCTGTGCTGATCTTTGTTCTGACAACGACGATTGTGATGGTAGTAGTCTGTGCTGTTACAATGGGTGCGGTCATGTTTGCACTCAACCAGGTAGTCTCAAAGTTTGATGATCATCTCGCATTTTTAATCCTGTTATGTAGAAAGCATTTGTTAAAGTACTATCTTTGGCATATCTTTGTCGGTTATTGTACTCCCGGTACTCCCATTTAGGCATGACTGTTGTCATGGCAATTACCGACGGTTCTTGTATACTCACGTTGTTTGTAGCAATCATTATAATTGTACATTGATTTCTCTCCCTTTTTATTCAAGTGACCGAAACAGAAAAAGGAGTACAACAAGAAGAAGTACTTGTTGAAAGTGTTGGTCAGTACCCATATTTCAATATTTATGTATATTTGTTTACACTCACTTCCAGAAAAACCTATAAATTAAAAATCTATAATTACATGAATTAATTAAGCTCTGCTAAGTATTTATCTAGTTAAATAACTTTAATTCATACTAGCAATTATTACCTGAATATGGATTACGCAATTGTACATTTCACCATATAACTTAAATTTGGTTGAGTATATACAGCATAAAAAGGATTTCGAATCACTCATATGTCATGATTTCAAGTAATATTATGTTGTTTCTAGATCCCTCCCTGAGACAATTGGAGACTGTATGTCCGATGCTTTTCGGCATTTGTGTAGATGAATGTGCTTACGATAATGCTTGTGAGGGGCAAATGTTTTCACAATAAATGTGAACACACATGCATATAACCTGGTAAATAATACATTCTGTACATAACATTTGTTGCACGGCATGGTTGCTATATGTTATTCATTCAAATAACTGATAATTGTTTGAATATTGCCCTACAGTACTCGCAACGCCAACACAAACGCCAAGGTTATGTCCCAGCAGTGATTCGTTTGATTTCGCCATTTGTACTGTATTTTGCTCAGAACATTCAGACTGCGATGAAGGTCGACTATGTTGCTCGAACGGATGTGGACGTGTTTGTACAGACCCAGGTAGAGTTATACATCAACTTTTGAGCTACTAGTATTCATTTATCGAATTACTTGTTGTGTAATATAGCAGGCCTATTAGGGTTCTTCTTAGAATTATATTGAATCTGATATCACTAACATATTGATCATGTCTTAGGTGTTAGGTGGCAAATTATTTGAGTTTAAAACCGATTCTGAGATTATTGTTTCTCTGGAATTGTATAATAGTATCCAATGTACATACGGGTTCAGACAATATGTAAAACAAGATATATAAGGCACATTTTTGTGTCTTTTAGCTCAACATAATCAAAGCAAGGAAATTATCTTGAACTAGAAGTTAGCATCGGAATATAAATGTATGTGTTCAGTTATACACATATTTTATAGGTGTCTAATCTTTCATTGATGCTTTGAACAAAATATCCGATTTTAGCAAATATTGCAAGGTTTGTTTTGATGACGTCCCTATTTTGTGTTGTTTGTTTATGGCTGGTGCGAGTTGGGGGGGGGAGTATGTATGTGTGATGTATCGGCAATGCGACGGATAAGATTGTCTTCATACTGTGTTGAAGGAAATGCCCTTCCCATGTCCCAAAATCATGTTAGTATGAATAGTGTATGTATGTATAATGAAATTTATGAAATATAATCCCATCGCGTGTAAATATAATTAATGGACGGCCAGTTATTCTTACGAACAGTCCGTGTTTACGAAAAAAAATAGTCTACGAGGTTAGATACAAAAGACAACATGATACTTACGACCATGTATTTCAGTTCCTGATGTTAAACCAGGAAATTGTCCCGAGCTTGAAGATGGCACAGGAGTATGTTTTGAGGGATGTGGGAATGATTATGACTGTGAAGGAGACACTAAATGCTGCTCCAATGGTTGTGGGCATATATGCATGACTCCGGGTAAGTGTAGACTCAATAATATGAAAATATAAATAATTATAAAGTATAATTCTACAATAATTTTACAGACATTGCAGTAATTGTACACCCTGACACCCTTTTTTGCCATGATTTTGTAAGTTTAAATACTGCCAATAACAATACAAATATATAAATTTTTGCTCTGTGCAGTTTTTCATTTTGATTACAAAATATATATTTTGAAAATATTTGTACTGCGCCAGAGAAATATTCCACACCCTAGTTAACATTCGTGTCCTAGTCATATCAATGAGTTTCGAATGACAAGCTTATTGAATTGGCTATCCGAGGTGTCATCGGAATATGCTTGC